CTAGGAAGTTACTAACACTCCCAGTTCAAAGATTAAGTGTTTCAGTTTCGCCTTTCTCTGGGGACCATCAGCATATGTTCAGCATTTGTTGTCTCCACAACGACGTCTTGTTACAGTATGCTACATGTCCGCATTGTTCGCCACCCTCTACTCTTCATTATGGGTTTGTTTGTTTTTTCTTCAGTCCCCAAGCACCTTGATAATGACAGGTTTCCTTTATACGGGTGCCTTCTTACGATGATCTTTGATTCCGAGGCTGATCACAGGGGCCAGTGCTGTTCTGAGACATCCACACGAAGAAGTCCTTCATCAGCATAAGTCTTTGGGTGTCAGTGAAGCGTCCATTGAACAATTTTATGATGAACAGGAGCTCCTTGAAAATGAGTCTAAGAGGGTCATTGGTTTCATTTCGAAGCCTTGTTACCGAATAGACGAATTTCTCAAAATTCTGCACGAAGTAAAGCGGGGAGGGTTCCAATAACCTTCGGAGGGGTGTGCCACAGGTATAAGCGCTAGCATGTGAATGCCTGACAACCACAACCTTGTCAACACACTGCATAACTTGTTATCATTTGTCAGGCACCCTGTAAACTCCTGTCAAACTTGTCAAGTTGGTCAATTTTGAAAATGGTCTCCAATTAAAAGATATATTGCGCTAATAGTGCAGCGGTTTACGGGGTACAAGACAGGAATTTACAGACTTGCGGGTTGAGACACGATTGGCCGCTTTTCACATGTATACGATTAACTCGACTTGACAAAACTTGTATACTGTCATGATTGCCCAGAAGCTCGCGTAGGCTTCCTCCTCCCCCCCTTCCTCCTCTCCCCCTCCCATCCCTTCTACTGTAATTAACGCCGCTAACCATAGGTGTAAGGTATTACGGAGAGGCACACGCTCTGTAATTTGAAGTCACGCAGACATTGAACGCTGATCACATGGGTAGAAGAATGGGATGGGTGAAGGCATTTGATCAAATTCTTCCAAGAATGCGCCACGCACCTTGCTCTCATTCAGATTTGAATGGGGAAGGGTCAATACGACATGGCCTACACAATGATTCGAGCAGCCAGGTGTTAAATAAGCCAGTTTTTCATGGTCCCAGACGAATCTATTCCGAGTTACAGGCCTCGTAGGGTAGAGGCTTGATTGTCCCGAGCGAGCGTCCATCCGGGGTTTCATCTGTGGCCCACGGCCACTTGATAGCACACCACACATGTCTTTTTATGGGCAAATTCTGGAACAATGGCGCCCTTCACATTATCAGCACTTCTCCTTCTGAGGTTGCAAGAAGTAGGCAGGTACCATCGAGGAAAACGCAGTGGTCCAGTTGAACCTGCCCGTGCAACCAGCGTGAAATATGTCTTTTAAGGAAAAACTAGATCGTATAGGGTCATCCGGGAGCATAAAATTGATGAGTTTGCATTTTCTCCTCGTCAGAAG